GAGGGTAGCCTTACCGGATCATGGGAAATCACCGTACCCATACCAATGATGGGTTCCTTCATTTCGTAGTACTTCAAGTAGTCCTTGAGGTCAGGGAACGTGTGATAAGGTTCGCTAGGCAACTCAGACTAGAAGAAAGAGAAGTGCACTAGTTATTCAAGGGTGCAGTTCCACTCAAAACGTTTATTAGGAAACAAAGCTAACAGATCAAACGTGATTATCTGTGGGAGCATTTCAAGTTGAAAATGAACCCGTCAAACCGATGGGATGCTAGTGTTATAGACGATTGTCATGTCCATCAGCCCGCTTTCTTGACTTGGCTAGCAAATTCACGCTGGTAAGCTTAACTAACTTAAACAACCAAAGGATGATTGAAGTCAACGTGTGCGGAAAAAAGTCAGAACTTAACGTTTAAAACTCGACTGTGGTGAGATCTTCCACAATATATTTCGAACTGTAAAAGTACAGATTACCGTTATATAGCAAAGGCCCAAAGTGTTCATCCTTTATACAGATAAGAGTGACAATCTAGCAGGAATATTAAAGTAACCACCACCACCACCATAAATTACCTACTACAACTCCCTGTCCTTCGGTGTCTGATACCGCGCTTTTTCCGCTCCCGTAGAAGGATTATCAGGGCAACTAAGGTTACACTGCAGATCATTAGGAAGCAGTATGCTCTCAGAGTAAATTGAAGGCAAATAAAAACATCAAGCAGTTTTGTCCAAGACCGGAAATGCACTTACGAAAACATGGTACTTAGCACCACTGTGTTCCAAAAGAAAAACTCCACCAAGTGCCATCGGTAACTCCCTACCACCATACCGTGGCTGAAGTGCATCATGAAGAAACTTGCCGATTGAGCCTTCACACAGTCTGCGTTTGGCTATGACTTCAATGACCTAAAGGAGTGAGTAAACATATAGAATTAAAATCTCTTAGATTGTTTATTAACTACAGGTGGAGTTAAGATTTTACTTAATTATTGCTGTAGATATCAGATTACTAGCACGTGAATCGTTTTGGCTCACGAGAAGGTCCTTATTTTACTTAAGAAAACCTGCTTAGCTATTGATTTCGAAAATATCTGATGTGTTAGGCTTTGATAATTAGAAGTATCGGGAAGAAAATAAAACTCTTGCCTGCATATGAGTTTATTTAACCATTTCGAATACAATTCACCTGAAAAGGTTTTTTACGTCTAAACTTATCAATTCTGGCAAGAACGGTTAACAAGGGAACCGAGGGACAAACATAAATATTTATGTTCCGTAATGCGGGGGCAAAAAATTTGGTGGGGACAAATTCAGAGAGGATTCTAGCAGATTATAGGTGGAACAGTATAGAAGTTTTGGAATTTTAGGACAGGGTTACCAAAATGCATATAAGGTGTATGCGGGCATGCATCTGAGTAACATTGCTGGCGAGAAATAAAATGGTTAAGCATTTTTTCGAAAATAGAAAATAGGTACGATCAACGAACCCAGCCTTCATTTCCTTCGCTGACAAATAATTGGGCACTTGAGTGAAACTTTGTATCTGTTGCATTGATTAGTTTGGAAGAGTTGCCCTAGAAACCGACACATTGAGCAAACACTTAAATATAAGCCAGTAAATCAAAAAGCAGGCAGAATATCTTTTAGGAAACCTATCACGTTAAAACTTGTTTGAATTTCATGCAACACGAAGGAACACAGGACATTCGACAATGTTATAATAAACTTATCGGATATCCTCAATGAAAATTAAAAATCAGATACAACTAAAGGCAACTATAAAAGAGCTACTAAATATCTAATGGCCAAAATCCCAACCTAAAACGGGACTGAGTAACTTTTTTGATTTATGTAAAATCGTTCAGTGTAACCAGCAAAATTGCCTTTTTTCACGTGTGATCTTCAGCTACTTTGCATGAAACTAGCGGGGACGCTTATTTATAAATTGAAGCCCGGGGATGGATGTCACAAGTCTAATTTTCCAGGAGCCAGTTGAAGTCTATGCCAATGAAATTCAATAGGCATAAGCAAAATAAAGAAAATTTACAAAATTGCGGATATGCTATTTAAAACATCCCTAATGCTTATAGCATTACCAGGATGTCATAATGAAAGAGGCCGAAATGAAGCATATTGTTGTCCATTTGTAGAAGAAAGTGTAGCATTTTGGATGGCTTTGACAAATGGTCTAGAATTCTAGCTACTAACACTCGGTAACTCATACTAACAACGTTATTAAACCTTTAGTTAAGAGATAAGCCGCCTGAACACAAAAAGAACCAGAAATTTATGTTGTAGCTTCGATGTTCTTGAAACAGATATTGTTGAATAAATATGAACTACATTGAAAACCGAACTGCATAAGACTGGGGCTGAGACAAATTATGTTTTTTTGGCATAAGAATTTCGTACTTTGGACTTTGGGTTAATTATGCACAAAAGTGTAAACTTGTAAAAATTAAAAACTGTCATGATACGCTGGTTGGTCGAAGATCGTTGCTTTATTTTGTGTAAACATATTTTGTTTACCTGATCCCTTTCATTCAACGTTATTATTTTTAGAAAGGGAACCTAAATTCCAAAGTATTAATAACACTTTGGGTGTATTCAAACAAAAAGTTAATAAAAGTAGGAATGTAAAACTTACACTTTTTTCACCATACGAATGCAACGTTCGATTACAAGAAATGGAACCATTGCAGTAACACAATTCAGCAATCATCTGCAAAGATCAATACAGTACGTCATAAAACACGTAAATCAAGCATTTCAATAGAAAAACTATGCATATGTAAAGTCAGTCAAATATATTTGTATACCAAGGCATATAAATGAGTTTAAATATCAAATATATGGTGTATAAATACGATTGTTTTTATAAAAACCGCCCCAATGAATCAATTAAAAATGCAGAATTACCTCGCAGGGATGTCCAGTTGTCCGATATGGGCCCGTTCCACCACCATAGACTACACCAGCTCTAACCTTACAAGCCTCCGCAACGTCCATCATGTCGTATTGCTTGAAGGAAATTAGCTGATATGAATTACCTTTTTACAACTGATACTTGGCAAGATATAGTCATGACTGCCAACGCGAGCGATTGTATTTTCACCACTGATTCCTTAAGTTAAAAAACAATTATTGAGAAAATATGAGCAAAATTAATGCTGACAAAATGTAATTGGTTATCAAATTATAAATTTAGACAACAGACAACGAAACCTACCACATCTAGGTAAATTAAAAGGTTTTCGGCTTAAATTAGGGCATTCAACGACTTTTGCTTCAACAAAGCCAAAGCATGGTTTCAATCCACGTTCGAGTTCTAAAATAAGTTCACAAATTAAGAATAATAAATCCACCTCTCGCAATTTCAACAATATGGTCTCTCCGTACAGGGAAAATAGTTGTGTGAGTTTTCTTTATCATGCAGTCAAATAAAGAATTAGGGTCTTTTTCAAAACGCTTTGGGAACGGCCCGTTCACTTGCATTTTCGAGAACAGTAACCAAGGCTATCGACTTTTGTAAAGTCGCGAAAACTCAATTATATGTTGGCACCTAGTAAAACAACATAATTCGGAAAACACTTTAGTTTTTGTGCAACATGAAAATCCATTGTTACATGTTCTTATGAAATGGCTTCATACCAAACGTCAAAACAAGAGATGCCTAGATATGAGGAATATAGAAGTTTCCGAATGGGAAAACAATCATATGTATAATAATTCCAGAAATTAAAGGCAGATAAATGGGTATGAAGAAGGGCACTGGAATGCCCATCTCATTAATTTTAAGGAAATATTAAAGGAGTCCATGATAAAATAATCGTTCTACAGCCAAAGCCTACGTCTATGGTATTTTATAGTTAGAAAAATCGAAACGTTACGAGTTATAAACGGCGAATATACAAAACAACCTCTATCCATTGATAGCATATTGATTCCGTAAAATTGTTCATCTTCCTGATGGTCTTTTGTCGTTACCGACGGAGCTAAGCCTCTTCATGAAGTACTACCGTATTTGAAGTAATCTGGCATTTCTCCGGCAATTCTACCCTGCAGCAGACTTATTTGTCAGCCAGCAGTGCACGCCGTGGTCTCATTCAGTTAAGGATGCAACTGCAGTGCTGTGCGTCTTTCCGTGACAATATAATCCCAGTGGCCTTATCAGTCATCAAGCTTTAACTTAATTTACGTTGGGCTCGAATGGATTGAATGACCTGATTTGGTCGACAAGTCGCTCCTCGATGTTTGGAGTCAGAAATACATTCCAGCTGTGACTGCAGTTCCTATCAATGAAATTATCCATCGGTTTATTTCTGTGCAGCAAGGACAGCCTGGTTCGTTACATAATACCTTATTTCATACGGCATCCGCGTCCTGGAAGAAAACCAGGCTTCCATGTAAAGAAACGAATCCCCTATGCAGTCAATGCTGAAATGAAGTACCTGCAGGAAATGGGGCTTCCAAAATGTGTAACCTTTTTCATCCGGACCATTCCAATTGATGTTTTCATACTGCCAAATGAATTGATTCATTTTCGTGTTGACTTCTTAACAATTAAGTCACAGCAACGAATGCTACGGGAACTGAGAGCGACGTGCATCGTTAGATTTTAGACGTCATATGATGTACATTTGTCAGTGCCGTTTGCGTCTGACATGATTCTAAAGAGTAATCCATGCTCCACCAATTAATTCCCGATGTGAAACTCCGTTGGCCAATCGCTGCCCTCACTGATCACTTTCCACACTTTTCCCGCGCGGCAGATCATTCTTCGTGATCGAAGACTACCTCATGTTTGCTGAGTACATGCTGCTTTCATTTTAATTTCGACCCATAATGTGCTAGCAATGGCATCCTGACCATCCTGGCACCAGCTGCATTATGTCAGTTGCTCACTGTATTGATGGTAACACCGAGAACACAGCCACTTCGTCTCCTATACCCTCTCAGTTCGTTGACTCCGCCATTCGGCATGGCGTCGAATCTCTATGGCTTTCTATGGGTGACTGGCTGATTTTAGTTCGTTTTTTGCATGGTGGAACAAATGCTGCCGCTGACTTCTGAGCCCCTTTTGATCACGCAACTAATTAAGAAACTGTCTTGGTAATTAAATCTCATTGGATTCCCTGTCAATTATACTTGTCAACTATTACAATCTGGTAATATAATCGACAGGGATATATCGGAGTAAGAAGATTTAAAAGGACCAAGGGCACTGCCATTACTCGGATAATTATGAAATTACTTGTGCCATTTAAGTATTAGTTCCCCTCATAATACATTCTGCTCTAGGAGGTAACGAGGTTGAGTGTTTGGACAGGTCCACGAAGCAGGAAAACAATAAACCGGATAGGTGTAGTAGCGACATCCATGCTGCGGTCTGTGCTGGTGTTGTCATCCTTTACATTTCCCATAAAAAATTTCGATATTTTTTTCTAAATACATTAAAGAGGATCAGAAAAGTCGAATTCCATGCTGATGTACAGTTAAAGGATATAAGCACAACGTTGGTTTGACCTCACTTACCCATGAAACTTCGCCTCTGTTCTAAAATTACATAAAAGGTGTCCGACCCCATTACATGAGCTGATACAGCGCTTACTTTTGGGAAATCCAACGGTAACAATAACATCCAGGTACAATGTTTATCGGTTGAAATTCTCGTAGGTGTTGTGAACGAAGAGGCCTAAATATATTCATGCAGATGCAATGAAGTACTTGCCTGACGGAATTAGAAAAAGCTTGCTGCTTAGTGGCATAAGTTTAAGAGAAAAACGCAGGTAAGTTGATAGGCATTTCTTTTTACGACCAACTGGTTAAGCTGTGATCCCTGCCAGTACGCGGCCCATTCATTAGCAGAGGCCCCAGAGAGGGATAGGAGGGGTTATTACCGGTAGCAATTAATCAAGGGTAATAATTATTGTAGAGGTTAAGCTAGGCGCCCAGGGATCAGAGAGGAAGCGTCAACTTATATCAGTAATATTTCCCAGAAAGAAGTTTTTTTAAAGCCAATTTGAGCAGGCGCATTAGTTGGATGGGCTCAGAAGGGGTAGGCAGGGATAAACACGATAAATAACATTCAAACATGAGGACGAAAGCGAGTTCCTTCACTGTCAGTGGATCCTGTGACACTTATTATCAGGAGCATCAAACGTTTCAAATATTTCTTGACTGCACCTTCAACAAAGGTAACTTACTTTGAGGTCCGTTAGCCGAATGCCTTATTCAAGTTTACAAAATAATACACGGTCTTGAGAAAGGATTGCGCTTTGAGGACATGTTTCAGTGGCACCTCTTGCCTCATCTCCGTGGGCACATAATGAAGCTGCGCACGAAGATGTCCAAGCTCAACCTACGCTCTGAATTCTTCACTCAACCGGCCATACAACAGTGGAACGACCTCCCGCAGTCAGTCGTGGAGGCTAATTCCCTTCAGTTGTACAAAAAATGCTTGGATAATTACATGCGTCCCCTCTTGTCCCTCGAAGACTGAAGTCTAATTTCCAGACTTATTTGTAAAAACAATGTTCTTCACTGTTTGCCTATACTATGTTAGTAGTGGTAAATTGTTTATACGCGCATGTACATGTGTGTGACGCACCAGCATGTAATCAATAGGGTTTTCAAAGGCATTGCCTATTACCCTCACCAAATAAACTGAAATAAACTAAAGTGCTTCTGAATATATGGCCCATTATAGAGAGTAGTTAGGTTAATCCGAAGCACATTACTTGCTAGCGTTTTTGAGACCGTTTTTCTTCTTGAACATGAATTGTCCTGTTGGCGTGGGCTGACGAATATCACCTAAACGGCAATAGAAATAATATCCAATAAACACACTTTTTTGGCAAACGCCTTTAAGAAATACCTTCTTTCTAAGGTTTTGACAGTCACATCGAAAAGAATCTACATTTATGGAAACAAAGTTAAAACCCTGAAGATCGCGAATAAGTTGCCGGACGATCAATAAGGATCTGAAACTTATTGTATTTCAGTACCATAAATATCTATAGAGAGGAGAAGAAAGAACGTTTAGTCTCTGACGTTTCAGATAGTTGTCTCGACTAGGTCCCTCGACTCGTGGCTAGACCCCTCGGAATAGGAGTCGCTCACAGGCCTACCTCCACAAGCCGGTAACAAGTAATGCGGCCGAAAGACCCTATCCCGAAGCAGGAGAAGTCAGTCGACGTCTAGCGACTTCAGTACAGCTGCGGGATGTGCCATTATGTTGGGGAAAAAGGCCGACAGCTACAAGCGCGAATGCATAAGTATCATCTAGTTGTAAGAAGGTTCGACCCAAAGTCGGTGGTAGTGGGATCCTTATGCTCTACTGCTACCGCAATTTTGGGCGGTGTCCTTCAAGCTGCCGTGCTAGGTCTTCTGTTATCCTTTTTTCATGAATGAATGATAATTTATCGACAGTTGGACACTATTAATCTTATATTTATGCGGATGTTCTCAACTGCATGTACTCCTTCCCTTACTCTACGGCCGTGCGATGCTTGGAAAGAATTCATTCGGATATGGACACGCTTTCTGCGTGGAGCTCCATGGGGCTAATGGAGTTCTCAACTTTTAAGTTTCGCTATATGTGTTTGGGCCTAGAAGGCTGCCCAATGACTGAATGTTCCAACATAAAGGACTTAGGTTTACTCTACACCAATAAATTAGATCATTCGCCTCACGTCGATAGAATTACGGTCAAAGCTGCTCAGATTTGCGGCTTTATTTCTTGTAAGTTTTATCTTCCTGAAATGAAATTAAGACTTTATCATGTGATTTTGTTTCCCATTCTAGAATACTGTTGCTCATTCTCCTGTCTAATGAAAGAATCTAGCCGCTCAAAAATTGAAAGTGGCCGAAGACACATCAAGGCAGACTAAATAAGCCTGGATGCCGGCCGAGCGTTCAGTAAAGTGCCAAATCAATTTACCTGCCCCCTATCTGGTTTTAAGAAGCTTCTTACCAGCGGTCCAGTCACAGCGTGAAACAATCAGGATAGG